TGTAAACGTATTAAATCAGTAGACATCCTCTAATTTTCATTGATGAAAGAAGTATATCGACACAGTTCTTTTTTAAATGCTTTATGTCTGCTATTGATATTATTGCTTAATCATGATAGTATAGGATTTCTGGGACTCCATTGTTTTATTTTACAATGCCTTTGAATGTAACTATCTTCTTCCCACTTATTCCAATTACTACCCGTTTTTATAGGCAATTTATTGTTAATTTTTTTTAAATTTGTACACATCGCAGCTATCACATTTATTGAAAAGGAGATATATTCGAAGCAATTAATACCCCTAGCTGACCAAACTTTTATTGTTATTGGAACATATGCTATGCATATATCATTTATTCTGCAAAGCCGAAGTTTCTGCCTAATGCAGCTTATATATTTAACTTAGCTATCTTAATGTTCGGTCATCTTATGATATACACATCTATTGATTTTATCGCCAAAATTCATATACTCCCTATGCGACCATTTTTCACCTGCAATCGTCTTCTCATATTCTTGATCAGAATATTCGAGTATCTATATATCTTCTATTGCTGAATGAGACCATTCTTTTTTCCCAAAAAAATGCATGCACTATGGATAAGAAATATATTTTTACAGTATTTCTAGATCATTTTGTCTTCAAGTGGAGCGCTTATCTGAGTAAGGCTGTTATGTTCAATCCTCCAAGTTTATCTGAAATCAATTCTGATCATCCATCTTCATATAAAGCTCAGCTAGAGTAATTTATTTTTTCCCAATGTTATCTTGTTAGCGTTTTTGTTTAGATTTAATTAAATTTCAACAATTTAATAGGATTTATCCGCCTTTTTAATTTGTGATTTAGGTTATTTGAGAATATAAGAGCATCTTCTCACGCCAAGAGTGATCGTTCATATAAAAACGACTCTCAAAATTTAAATCACAAGACCAAACGGAATTTTTGTGAAGAAAAACAATATGGTCATCTCAAGAAATCTTATTTACTACCTCATCATACAGAGGCTATTCTAAGTCATCAGGGTAATGTACAATCTGATTCAGTTGAAGCAACTTCGCCGTGTGCGCACTCCAGCTTCATTTCTCTCGTGAGTATGGATATATATTTATATGAAATTTAAATAATCTTTTAAGCTAATGATGCTTTCCAGTTTTTCTATACAACATTTCCATAAAGCATACCTACAAGGAGGCTGCTTAAATTAGTTAATTTATTGGAGTCATTATTTAGGAAATTCTGGTGACCTTTGCTCTTATTAAGATCCAAGCATCCTATGCTCTATTGATTTCAACTCATCATATATCATCCCCTCAGTTTAATCTGCCTTCGATATTAATGCCTTGATTTATCTCTGTCAAGTATTCTCCACCTATGACAAGGAACCTAATTATTTGGACTACTCACTGGTCTATTAATTTTTTGAATTACGCTATCTCGTATTATCTAAACTCTAATTTGATTTGTTTTAAACGAAAACTGTATTACTTTCCGCTTTTCCTTCTCTCAACTATGCCTGTATCGACGGCTTTTCTATTTTAGCCCTGATTCTTATAAAGTTTAATCTTCTAATTAATTAAATTTTGTTTTTGTGTTCTCGAAATATTTTGTCCACTTTTAGCAAGAAATTGATGTTCGTTTAACTGGCTCGCTTTCATCATTTGATGCCGGCCTTCTCCGTCTTCCTCCGCCAGGCAGCCCATTGGCCACTTGTGACTATCTTATCCATTTGCCTTTTTCAATTCCGGCCACCAATCTTGATTCGCATCCTCTTGACCACTTTCTTTGGCCAGACCAAATGAAACGCCGCTCAATTTGTACTAGGGCCAATGAGTACCCGGTTAATTTGGTTAATGCCGGACTCGGCCATACGAATTCGAAGCCGTCACCTTCACCTTTATCAGCAACTTTGGATAATCTTGGAGCAAGTGCCTGTAAAACTGCTCGCTTACACTCTTGCCAAGATTCGTTGCCTCACATCGGCAGTCAGGGTATGATGCTTGAGAGAAGTTAAACTTTTTGACTGAATGTCAATGGGCATTTAGATAATTTATTTATCTTGTCTTCAATCTTACCTGTCCTCTATTTGAT